ACAAACCTAACAGGAAATACTGTGATAAAAATCGAAGCAAATTACAATTAATTCTAATAAACACAACACCGACAAAACCAGCAAAGCACTTGCACAAAACAACGCGGATTAAAACCTACTTTGGTGGTTCTATTTTTTAAGATGGATGGCGGAACAGTTAGATGTTTTGATGTATCGTCATGTTCAGGCGCTTCTTGTCCACGTACCGCATGTTTTTCCTGCTGCAAGATCTAAAACCACATGAAGTCATGTAACTCAAGATATAGGAAAAATAGGTACTAGTAAAACGAACTCCATCTCCACCAGATTCCCTTTGTTCTTCAATTGGCATTTCATTGCAAAAACGTACAGTCCTCAATGAACGCAAGGAATAAGGTTCAGTAGTGTTCTAAACAATATCAATAAAGAATTTTCAAGGAAACAGATAGAAACACTAACTACTTTTAGTAGAGAAAAAAGGCTAGGAAAATCCGTGTACTCAAAGAAGAAAAATTTGACTTTAAACAACAAATGAAAGTCAACGATACCTCATAAGGCAAAAACAAAATGGAAGCAAAGAAAAAATAACGCCAGTTCATGGTATATACGTTGGGTCCACATAAAGCCATTTATAAAGAATGTTCGGCCAAATATAACTGTTGTTATAAACATTATCACCCACATTTGAAGCACACGGAGATAGAACCATTTTCTTAGGCGTCATCGCTGAGTTGTAACGTGCCGCTATGAACTCTCGAACCTATTCAGTTGCAAAAAGTCAAATTCGTGAAAAAAGATCTTTAAAATCACGAATCCTAACCTTTCGCTGATCATTTGCGCTAACTTTCGAGTCAAACACGTTAATTCCAAGTGGAAGAAGACTCGGACGCGTCCTCAATGACCGAATCTGAAATTAAATGTTGTAGAAGAATAGAAACTAATGCACTGATGATCGGAAAAATACCGCTAAGTAAGGCCCGGGTGACAAAAACAGAGCTGTAATTCCTACATGCTATATACATAATAGAGCTCATAATAAAACCGCCGGCGGTGTAGTTTCAAACTAAAAACTGTCTATAACACAATTTCTGTATCGGGAAAAGAAAACCGTTAACTGTTCACGGCTCACCTATCCCTTAAGGAGGTAGCATGCATCCAACCTGTATATTTGGGTTGTATTTGGGTGGCGGCGGAGGCATACTGAGCTATCATGTCACTGCTTTTACCTTCCCAAAGCAGTCTTGCGATAATTTGAAGCTGTTGGTCAATGTGAGCTTGTTTAGGTCAGGCAGTGGAATCTATTCACCAAAGATCTATTCGTTAAAGGGAACCTATGACCACTGTGTTATCTGACTTCTTGTTTAAGACAGATAAACGCAAAATTTTATAAGAAAAAATAAAAAGTCATTGAACTAACCCCTCCGATAGAACTATAACGGCCAGCTGCGGGCATTCTGATGCCACCATTACGGATCATATCAAGAGATGCCTTCACAGGTTTGAAAAAACTATCTCCTGCAGGAACGGACGGAGAATCATGGCTGAAGTTCGCTGGGAAAGAACTGAAACTAAGTGAGACACGACAGTTTGACGAAAAATCCAGATAGTCGACATATAGTAAGTAAAGTAAATACTGTGGAGTTAATGGTCTGCACTGGAGTTCTTTTATTGTAATAGGCCAATTCAGAGATTCACTAACAAGTAGAGGGGTACAACAACACATCCCTTCTACATGCTTGACAGTACGCCTTATTAATAAATCGTTGTAATCACAATAGATTCTAAAACTGACTAACATTAAGCTCGTCTAAGCTTTTCCAGAAGTTGTGGTATCACAAGCACGAAAACACTTCTCAGTTGAGAGCGATGGTATTTAGGATAACTCAATCTCCAATAGTCCTTTCTAGCAGCCACAGAAAAAAGAAAAGAAAAGAACCGTACGACAATAAAACGAAGGTTTCGCCTTCAATGTGAACCATAGCGTGTTCAGAAAGTGGTTAAGATACCACAACCTTCCTTTAACATGATTATCTCAAACGCAAAACACTTCAGTTAATAGAGGTGGACATACCAATGCTGCTCGTTCTCCTTCGCATCCACGTTGACATCACGTAAAACTCGTTTCGGAGCACTGCTCAAAACAGGTTCTGCTGATTTTAAGCCCCGATCTTTCGACAGTTTGCTAAAAATCCGCGGTACAGTAACCAGTAAACGGTGGTTGACTAGCCGAATTTTAAAAAAATCTAGCAGAGTTAGGGAACAAAGTGAAGTCAAGGGAAACTATGGGATTACGATACCTGAGAAAACAAAACCATTCTACCTATACGCCTCTCTCGCCGCTTTCATCCTGGCGATCCTGTCGTTTTCTTTCACAACAACTTTGGGTTTGAAATTCGTAGCTGCTAGCGATTTCTTTATAACCTTTGTGCCAGTAGATAGCCTCAACACTTAAGCATTATAAATGGGACAGCTGATTAAAGGAAAAAACATCCAGTACATTAAAGAGCAGACTAAGTGAATTTTTACAAGAGTCCAATAAGGCCAAAACTCCGCTTCTTAGAAATTATGCCAAACCTTACCTTCTTTTTGATGTGTTTGCCACCATTTCTAGAGTTCTCTTCAGAGAGCCAAGAAACTGCAATTGTCAACTCGATGCTTATCGACCCAGTGGGAAAATACGCTAACATGATCGGAGAAGAAAATCTCGAGAACAAAGGAAAACTACCATTCTTTATGACCATATTCTCTTCAATATAATTAAAATTGCTCATAGCAGTGCGACAAAGTGACAGAAACAAAAATATTTCAAGAACTGATTTTTTCATCCTACTTCTATCTTGATATGATGTGTCTTTTCATTGAGAACCTAAAACGGTGTTAATAAAAAAAACCTTAACCTTATTGAAGAAAACCATAAGAATTCCTCATCAACACCGTGTTGGCCCATCAATGAAATGGTAACGTAGACGGTTGAGAAAGAAAGAAAGGAAGAAAGAAAGAAAAGAAGTTAGGATGAAGAAAACACAAATCACTAAACAAACTAGTTATGTGCTCCAAATGCTGATATCCTGTGAATTTGAAGACACTCAACCGCCCGATTGGCTTAGATTGTCAATAGAGCGCGACAGTCAATTTCCGACCCTCGAATTAGCTTGGTTGCCTTTGCTGTGCAGTGAAAGTCCTTGAGTACTTTATGACAATATTTGAGCAGTACTTTAGTAGTACTACCTAACCTTCTTGTTTCTAGCCGTTCTTTAGACTTTTTCATGAACAGTGGAGATAGTACACTATAGTATTCCAATCCACAGAACCAAAGTAATGAAGGTCCCTTGGTTTTTCTATGATTTAGCTTCTTCAAGTCGCTTGAGTTACTACATATCATTATAATGCTAAAACACCGGCAGTTTATAATGTGGAGCTCGATAGGTTCTGTAAATATCCCAAGGAGCTTGTACGTAACAAGTCCTTCTACTAACTTTTTTATATGCCAGGTTACAGACAGCACAAGGCCGAGGATACACCATCGAAAACTCTGTGAAATACGATCACAATGATGCTGAGATATTTGCAAAAATTGGACCCCAGGCTAGATTCAACCTCAGCTTAACTGGGTTCACTGCCGATTGGTGCTTCCCAGACCAATCCCGTTGACAAGTGATTGCTGATGGTATCGTTAGGGTGAAAAAAAACTGGCTGAGAGAAAGGTAAAACGGGAGCTTCAGTGGTACAGTGGGTAACGCGTGAACCCTCGGAAAGGGTAATCTGGGGATCAAATCTTGGCTGGGGTTCACGTTTACCAAATATCTCAGCATCATTCTAGTTTTATTCCAAATCATACCGTACCGTGAAAGGAATAATGATAGGCAGTAAATGAGGAGTAAACATTGTAATTTCGAGAATTTTGTATTGGAACACCTGGACACTTGGATATTTAGATGGCCCAACTACACTGGTTGTGCAGGCAGCAGCACAACCTCCATTTTTTTCGGAGTTTTACTGGTTAAGCCACTGTGGTTCCCTGGAGTACCGAGGTCAGCCTGGCAAACGTCTGCTCCAGATCGTCACCACCACAGGGAGAAGCAGCCCTTGTGGATCTGAGGGAGATTTGCCACCATGCGACTTTGGTACCAGGACGGTGGTGGATCTTGGTGTTGGTTTACTCTTAGCTAGGCTTCCTGATGGAAACACCGAACTTCTTCTCAGCTTGGGAGACGCTGGCAGGGGTATGAATCCGGTATACTCGAACGCCGTTCTATATTGCAGGCCGACACCCAGGAACACCTCCCAGTCACGATGAGGCGATAAACCGTTGGGAGGAAATCTGAAGGAAAGAAGCAAGTCTACCTATGCAGATTGAAATTCACAGCCCGAAAGAGATAAAATGGGCACATTGCTGGGGCATTCCCGACTCATTCAACAACCAGCTGGAAGATAGGACACAGTGGACAAGAGTTTGAAAGTAATGGAGACAACATTACTGTTTAGATTTGTTATGTGCGTTCACCTGTTCTCACCACTTCCTTAGTATTAAATCAGACCTGTTCATTTAATAGAACATTGTATAGTATCCCGACCTACCACTTTTGTACTCGAACTTCTTCCAACTTAGAAAACCTGGTGACATGTGATATGACGTCAGATTAGCAGCTTTAAAATACTAAAGTCAATATTGGGGCGGGTAAAATCACAGCACACTTGCTATGCATCCACAACGACCACTTGCGTTAAACCAGCACACACCTGCTTCTAATCCTACAGGTTATTGACGTGATTACAAAGTTATAGCAAAAGGTTTGACTCTGATAGAAGTAATGTAGTATGAACTATGTATGTAATAACAGTATGTGGAAATGAAGTTTATAACTCATCCAAGTTATAAGACAACCGAAAATTGCAAAAGTCTGATCGTGAAACTGCAAGCGTTTAAGGAAATCAGGTTAGAAAGAACATTGATACAATAAAACCGACGAAGTACAATGAGAAGATAACAGCATTTAAAACATAAAAAACAGCTCGACAGCTTATTTCCCAGTGGATCCAAAACCCCCTTCGCCCCTTGCTGTATTGGTTAACGACTCACATTCTTTGAATGCGCAATGAGCAATCCGCTCACAAATTAGTTGAGCGACTCTGTCACCTTTCTTCACCTGAAATTCAGTCCCCTGAACGTGTGAATACATTGGTTAATTCAACGAAAAAGTTATAAGCCAACCTCGAAGTCCGTAGTGCCAAAGTTGAACAGTAAAACCTTGAGTTCTCCACGGTAGTCGCAGTCGACGACACCAGCACCGACATCAATGAAGTTCTTCGCAGCGAGTCCAGAACGAGGAGCCACTCTTCCGTAATATCCGAATGGAATTTCGATTTGAAGACCGGTAGAAACACAGATTTTACCTAAACATACACAAAAGTACCCTTAAACCTCCTACGACATCATTTGGAATGACATCCATGTCTTATCCAGCCTCGTTAAGAACGTAAAAAAAAACATAGGCCACCACCTTATCGCCTTTTAAAGTGAATGACGTCGAACAGGTTCAACACTTCAAAAATAAGAAAGAATTATTTCACCATTGGCTGGGACGACACAATCCTCCACACTGCAGAGGTCCGCGCCTGCAGCTCCAGGTGATCCATAAGCTGGAGCCTGAGCCTCAGGATTCAGCTTCACAAAATGAACAGGCAGTCTCTGGAATGTTAAGCTACAAATAGTACAACAAAAAACGTGTAGAATGGTAGGCTAAAAAAAGTTGAACCTGTTCTTCGACTTTGAAACGTTTGCACTCTACAAAAACATCAGTCGTTTCCACATTCTCCTTTTCATCGCAAACAGTAGCCATTTTACGAAGACCAGCGCTAGAAGGAATACACGATACTCTTGAATCCAAAACAGATCCCACAGAAAAGTGCACGTGCCAAATTAATATCTCTCACAAACGAAACCTAGTGAGCTGAGTTGTCCAGATAATAGATTCTGCCCAAAATTGCACACCTTATCGGCAAGAAGTGTGGCTGGAACTGTCGAGGACAGCATTTGGTGACCGTCGACATCCAAACGATTTTTTCCCGCCTTTCAGGAACTTTGGCTACATGCGTTCTCCATGGAGCGCGGAATTTAACAACAACTGATATGAAAGGGTCCTTGGGTATAGGTGCAGGCCTGGGGGTGTTAAGAGGAAAGCCATGATATTGCAGGACTCGTTAAGTTATCTATGACTACCTGCTCGCGATGAATAGTGAGAACTAACTGTCCTTGCAAAGAAATCAGGACTCTTTCTTGTGCTCCGAGCGACTGATTCCCAATGAGGAGGTTACCGTAGTATTCCTTAGTGCAATTCTTTAGCTATAAATGAGAAAGATATTGTAAAAATACTAGCTCTAGCACAATACTTTTGGGAGCCCAGTTAAAGAAGATCTCTTCTGAAAAGAAATTACAGAGCTAGACTGAAAATGTGCTGGGGTCCCTAAGATGCTTCGTGCGGTTGAACAATTCAAGTAAGACCAGCTTACGTGCTTACTTAGCCTTTTGGGTTACAAGCCTTTTTTTAGTGTCATTACTGAAAAATACTTTTGTTATGATCTATTTTAAGTAGAAGACATATCGGCCATTAGGAGCTTCCGTATGACGTCATATTTTTCTCCCTTCAATACACTGTTTTTCTTTCCTCCCTTCAATCTATTTCTTCATTATCTACTTCTTTTCCTTTTCTGTCATCATATCCTGTTCTCTGTTCTCTGACTTCTTTACTAGTTCTAAATTTCCTCATCTTTCGTTGTCGTGTCGTTTCCACTGTAACTTACCACCATTTGCTCCCCACTTCTCTTCGCTCTGACCTCAGTATCCTCTTCTATTTTTTGTTTTTTTTTTCCATATGCTCCTTATTTTCACTTCAGCCTTTCTCCCTCATTTTGCCACTCCTTGTTCTTTAGTTTCCACGTTCTTCTGTCTTTCTTTTCTTCTCTAAATAACTGCTTTGTTCTCGCACTTCCTGTTTCTTCTCTCACCTCTCCTTGCTTCGTCACCCTAGTTCTCTTTTCGACCTCATATCTGTATGCTTCTATTTTATTCTAGTTAGCACTCATTTTTTTCTCTACACTTCTCTCTTTTCCATAAAGGATAAAGGAGAAAGCTTTCGGCGTTGATCAATCCCTGAGGGATGCGCCATCCATTCGAATTCGTTAGGTGTCGTTATGGGACACATCTGGTATCTTCTCATACATGTCTGCTACCACTCTGCCGACCCAGAAGGGATAGAGAGCTTGGTGCAGCTGGGGCGCGGGGATCGATCCCGTCTGTATTACAGTGCGCCTCTGAACAATGCTCTACCCGTGTCCGTGGTAGAAATTACATGTATTAACTATTAATGCCGAGGTTTCGCACCTTATCATTGGGCTTGTCGAGTTCGCTTATCGCAATGGTTAGTGGTGGCCTGCAATGTGTTCCTCAGCTCAATCAGGTTCTTCACCTGCCTGTGTTCGACAGAGTTGTATCTGACTTATCTGGAAAGAGAAAAACACAGACAAGAAACACAATGTACTTCCACGTGATTTCTGTGCGGTTGGTCTCTACGTGACATACTTAGTGGAAACCTCATAGAAAGCGGCTCTGAAGAAGGCGAAATCCGCCGAAACGTCAGCTTAATCGTGAACAAAGAATAGTAACACCTCGCGTTTGCTCAACAAAAATACGAAGAAAATCACTTGATCAATGCCGAGGTTAATAGAAAGTCGGTCGTGGCAGTTACAGACAAGAAACATCCACATTCTTCGATAGAACTTGGTTGAAGAGGAGAAGGTGCACGACCACATCGACATCACATGTTTTGATTTATCACTGGCATTGTCGTAACTGACAGCTATCTTTTGGTGAATAACACACCTTGACACTTGACACTTGAATGGCCCGTCTTCACTTGTTGTGCGGGCCCCAGCATAATCTCCATTTTTCGGAGATTTGCTGGTTAAGCCATTATGATTCTTTAGAATTCCGAGGTTAGCTTGGCCAAAGTCTGCCCCAGGTCGTCACTACGACAGGCAGTCGCAGCTCTTGTGGATCAGAGGAGGATTTGCCACCATGCGACCTTGATATCAAGAGGGTGGTGGATCCCGGTATTGGTTTGCTCTTAGCTAGGCTTCCTAATGGACACCACCCAGCCAGAACCGTTGAGGGAAAACAACACACCAGCTCCAATTAATAGTTTAACAGGCGAAGGAAAGCTTCTTTTTTAGTAAATCTCTTTGTGTCCAATAAAGAAGGACTCCACTGCAATCAGAAAAGTACAAGTGAAGGTGTAATATTGTTTGACAACTAAAAGGCATAAAAAGAGATAGGGTAAAGGATAAAGTCTTCTGTATTCCCTGAGGGATGCGCCATGTATTGAACTGCATTTATGGTATCGTAGAGATGATTAAATGTATCCTTGTCGTTAAAGTGGCCTACCGACATTCACTGCCAGTATTTTCATTTTCCCAGATAGGTCTAACATCAATCCTGGGTGGATGAAGGGTTGTGTTTGCCGGGGCGTGGAATCAAACGAGGGACCACGTATATATTGTAGGGCAACTCTAACCACCGCCATACGCGCCTCAGAAAAAGTATAACTACGAACGAATTGGATTAAAGCAAAACAGCTACAAGATCGCTAAAGGTATTTTTATTTCACTTCGGTTGGTGGCACTCTGCATTAGTCCGGAGCCCAAGAACAATAATGATCTCATTATGCTTAGTTCGAATGAAGCTTAAAAAATCAGAGAACTAGTCACTGAGTGTGAAATTTGTCTACATATATGGACTTACGGAAGATTTCTATGAAGAACGTCATAAACCTGCGGACCTACTTTTAGGTGCAGTTTTGCTTTCCAACCGGTCGGCATCTCGAACCGATCGTGTTTAATGAAACCTTTTGTGAATGCATCATTCATCGAATGAGACAATGAAGAAGATCGGACTCGTTACGAAGACGAAGACGCCGCATCGAGAAGACGAGCAACTGTGGACGATCGTTGCGGATCATTGACTCTGATGAAGACGAAGGCGTCGAAGGGTTAGTTGAGTAAAGATTGTTTATCAACCTCGTGTAAGCTTATCAAAGAAATAATGCATCTTGATTATATATACCGAGGTTAAGGGAAAGGCGGCTTTGAAATATTAAGATCGTTTACTTAATCCAGAGGTCTTTTTGGCATATGGAAATCTTTGTGATACGGGGTGGTGAGCATCCAACGAATCTAACCTGCTGTACATTGTATTTTTAAACATTTGCAGCAAATTCGCTAGATGTCGATCTTGAAGTTTTCCATTTATAGGTGTCAAGAAAAATTGTGTTAAAAGTAAATTTACGACGCAAAAGGACACAAAAAAGTAAGACTGATACGTTCCGTGCGATGCTAAAATCTGTCTTTCATACCAGTCGAATAATATAAGTTGTACCCGGCCGGTGAAGACCTGCGGACTCTAATGGCTTTTGCTCCAGTTGGAATGGTTCAATACGAGCCGAGACATGTTGGTTCAAATTTGAGAGCACTCGGTGTTTTCGCTGCAAACGCATTGAAATCAATGCATGCATAGTGTTTTGCGCTAAATTCTCGGAAGTAACTGTCCACTCGTGTCCATCAAGAACGTCCGTCAGTGGTGTATGTTTGCTCATAGTGTCTACATCGTAGGGGCTATTCACTGAACCAAGAAGAATCAAATACAGTGAGCACGACGGTCTACAGCTGAACCTGAGAACGGTAGGCGGTGTTCAGTAGATGTTTTTAATAGATTTCCTCTGCTTTTGAAATGTCATGATTACGGTGTTTTCTTCAAGAAACTCGATTCGAAGAAAAATGAAAAAGTGAAGTAAACGGTAAATGAGGATCTGAGCAGTTGGAGAGACAGCATATGAATTTTAGAAGCCTAGACAAATGTGGTTTCTCTTCCATAGAATTGAATTATTGGCGCAGCAAAAAAAAACAAAGGTAGTGACAAGTCCGATAAATCTAGCAAATATTATGGATCATTTTTTCTTGTCTGAAGAAGTTGTTCTGGATGGAAACTGGTTACACGAAAATAAACAGATCCAGAACTTCTCTACAGTCCTCTATAAATGCATTACTTAATCTCGACAGATGTAAAGTTTGAACGAAGGGTATCAAATCTTCATTTAAATGAGATATTGTGAAGTACTTCAAAATTTCCGCCAATTCTTCACGACAGCGAAGTCATTTATTCCATCAACGGCATGTTTTCATGGTTTTCCTTCCTAGGTACTTGATCTCCATTTTGAATTCAGGAGTGCTGGTTGTGTTTTATGTTCTTCAACGAATTAGGAGAAGACTGATTGCTAGAAACAGAAGTTTAATTTAATGACAAAGGCAAGAAAGAGAGAATAAGTAAGAGAAGAAGAAGAAAGAAGATAAAAGCACAGAACGAGAAAGAGAAAGAGAAAGGGGGAAAACATAAAGAAAAAAAGGAAAATGCAATGTAAGTGAGAATTAACAAGGATGGTGAGATCTGAGCAAAACTCAGGACCCAGCATGGGCCTCGAACCCGGGATTACTCTTTTAGGGAGTTCACTTGCTAGCACCCCACCGACTAAGGCCCTTTCTTTGCCTTTCTCTCAACCAGTTTTTTATTCTATCGGTGCTACTTGCAATTACCTATCAATGAAAATAATGAACGTTTCTTACTGGCTTAGTGACCTTACGTCAAACTTGCCCAAATCTCTTTATTGACTAGACGTCACGCTACCGAGCTACCGAGTGAAGGAAGTATCGTCGAAAATTAGTACTGATGCTAGTAAGCAAATCAATAATTATGAAACTACTTAGCAGAGCTGACTAACAAATCCTGACTGAACAAGTGAATTTTGCTAGCTGTATGGGCTTGTCCAGCTGGTTGGATCTGGTTCGCACCTACAGTATGAGGAGATGTAAACATTGACGGAGGACTCTCAAACATTCCGCTTCCGATGCCGCGTGTGTCTCGGCTCAGTCACTACTTCCTATAGTGACCACTTTTTCCACGACATTGTAATTTTTTTACAAGACTCTCGTCACAAATTAGGGAAAAAGTCATTATTCAATGGAGATTTGTTGAAATTCGGCGGAAGAAAAGACGGGCGCCACAATAGTTAATACTTGTTCTCTTTCAAATCGGAGGATTTGCATTCAGTTCGTTATAGAATGAAGTACTGCTTCCATTTTTTCCTAAGAACTTTTGTATTTGTGAGACCCGAGTTCGTATATCGGATTCGAGCGCTGCTTTCATTCGGGTCGTTGTCTCACATTTTGCACACGAAGGTCTTGGAAGTTGTATAGATCAGGGAATGAAGAACCGAAAGACTTTAACTAATCATTGGTTTCTACATGTAGCAATTTAACTTCG